GGTTGAGAAAAGAAAGATCGAGGCCAGATTGTGAGGGTCGTAAGCCGAGAGTCAGACTGTAAGAGTCATAATTTGAGAGCCAGATTGTAAGAGTCATAAGCCGAGAGCCAGACTGTGAGAGTCATAAGCCGGGATAAGCTTGGTGCTACCTCTTTGTTTTCTTTGTTTTTATTTTTTGCTTATGAAGAATTTTGATTGAGAGAAGTATTATTGAATTGATAGTCATAGAATGGATTATATATTGAATCAAGACGGAAGTAATAAGCCCTGGTGTTTAGTAGTTTGATAATTGATTTTAGATAGTCAGAGTACAGTCAATTGTTACACTAACAGACCCAATTCATATAACTAGTCTTTCTTCATATTCAAATCCACCTCTATTAGTTCAATTGCTTTAGTATATGGAAGCTTGAATGCAACGAGAACAACAATTAAATACAACGTATTTAGTATCATGACCTTAGAAGAGATTCTTGATATTTGGTGGTATTTTAGAAGATAGGAATCATCTTTGATGGTATAATAAATTTTTTATTTATAAAAAGTAACAAAGGCTTTAATGATTAAATACAAAGATAGCCTTTTTGCCTTGGTATGGAATACTATTAAAGATTGTAAGGACAAATGAGCCACCTTTAAAAAAAATAAAGATCAATGTATTTAACAATTATAATTTTTTACATCTTATACTTTCTTAATATATGATTACTACTCTTTATAGAACTTGCTCCTAGACAAAGGATAGAGAAGAGGAATAAATGTCATAGATATTTATATTTATTTAAATAAAAAGTATCAGGTTAAAGATAAATATAGATAGATTTGATATTATTTTGTGGCAAAGCTTCTTAAAAGCTTCATAGATGCATATTTGATTTTATACATGTTTTTAGTTGATTAGTAAGTCAAAAACTTGCTCAACAAATTAACTATGTATTGCATATGTTGGTAATTTATGGTACAAGCTAACTATGTGACCTACATATAAGAAACTTGCTTTGTAAGTTGGTCACATATCTCGTAAATTAGATATATGTGAGAGGTCTTATAGAACAACTCTATATAGCTTTTAGTTAGATAGTATATATAGATGTAAGAATGAAGTCTTTTTCATTCTTGACAATGCTGTTTTAGTTCTTAGTCTTATTTTAAGAGTCTTTAGTTTTCTTGTCTTTGGCAATAGTTATTCTAGTTTAATATTATATCATCTTTGATAATTATCTAGTTTCTTTAAGTAAAAAAAGAATATATTGATTTTTTAATTCTTTGAGATTCATATCTTCAATAGATTTTTAATTCATCTTCAACTATTGTAGAAGTACAAAGATATGTGAAACCAAACTAAATCAAGAGATCTTTGAAATTTACTTCATAGTATATAACATTGTATGAAATTTTTTGAAACTTTCTACAATATTCAATACACCATGTTTTTTTTCATTTGCTATAAGAAAATAAATAAAATATTGTAATATTCCTAAAAATATTAATTAAAGATGAATTTAAAATATAATTTTAAAATCATGATTCATGTTTAAAGAATGCTCTCACTTAATTGCATCATTGTTTTGTTTAAATTTTGTTATTTTTTAATATTGATTACTTTCTTCAATGCAATTCATAGCCTCTATTTGCATAGATAGAGTTTGTGAGGTAAAAGAAAAGTACAAATTATATTTGGACATAAAGGTATTTATCTCATTATTGATAATTTTTTGTAAAAATTTGTTGAAATTTAAATTAGTCACATGTAGAAGAAATTTAACTTTAAAATATGTATAAAAGAATACATGTTATGATTTCAAAACATAACTATACTTTTTAGCCTCCAACCGATCACTTGCATCTATTGAGTGTATTTATCTACATACATATATTTATTGCATCTTAACCCAACATCTTCTATTCTTATCAAAACTAATAAAGGATCATTTTATTGATTTTCTCTATATGAAAGAATCTTGATGAAAGAAATATATATGACTCTTCATCATATAATTCAAAATTTCATGATTTACTCAATTAAAAATACAATGTCTTATTAGAATAAGAGTAGTGGCTTGACTTAATAATATGAAAGTAAGATTTCAATCTCAAAGTTAATCTTTGTTGAAACTCCATATTATCCAAACTTCACCTCACTAAATCATATTATTCTAAAGTGAGCAACAATATAGATTGGAAGAAAACATGTACTGGCCAAAGACTATGAGAATATCACCTTTAATTAAATCAAATGAGAGTCTATCCACATACTTAGATCCTTGTCCCTTATGCCAATTTTGACAATTTATTTAACAAAACTTCTAATGATATGTAGGAGTTACTTCTATATTACTTATGACACATATCAAAATATATTTTTAAAACTAATAAAAAATTATGAAAAAAATAATTATTTTTGGCAAAAAGATAAAACAAGAGTTTGTGCCATCAACTACACTCACTTGATCGAGTTATACTATCTAAGTCCTTTACACATTTATATATCTAAAACACAAATATGCCATACCACGACCAAAATACATCAATTTTTAAGGAAGTAAAAAATTAGTGATCATATTCAATAAAAAATAATGTAAAAATTAGTGTTTGAATTAATAAACATACAAATTGTTAGCCAATTTTACTAATTGAAGACAAGAATATTTTACAATTACATCATTTCTAATTTTTACAAATAAATTGGCTAATTTTTTATTATATTTTAAACAAATCTACTAATAATTTTTCATAGAAATCGTCCTTACTTGACATCACATTGCAAATATCACAAAAATTTCACATTCATAGAAATGTGAAAATTTTCTAAAAAAGAAAAGACAAAATGCTAGAAATTTCTACAAGATAAATATATACACTTGGAATACAATTATTTTATAAAAGTATAATTGTTAATTATATCAAGAATAACATAAAAAATAAAAAAATAAAAAAATGAGGCTAATTAGAAGTACTTGAGAAGAAAATTCATAAACTTAGAAGATCATATCTCAAGGTATATTTTGGTAGACACTCACAATTCTATTACACAGCCCTCAATGCAAAGTCGACCCAACATCCTTTTTCTCCACCTTGTGCATTATGTTGCAACAATGTGAATTCTCTACACAAATCGGTTGTAATTTGGCACCTTCTTGGATTTTATGAACAACTTCTAAGGTGTTATGAGCAAACATTGAATTGGAATTTATTAAAAACAACTTCAGTCATGATGTTGTATACAATGTGTCTTTATTGCTCTCAGATGTTTCAAGCTACTATTTTGATCAATTTTTTTGCTAAAAACATAGAAAGATGCATGTAGCAAATAAGAATGATGTTTTGTCTTGGCTATTTATTTCTTGAGTATTTTTTTAAGAGATATAAATTATTATTATATTAAAAATTTTGAATTATAAAATTTAATATTAACAACTAAATATTTCAAATCTTAGCATAAAAAACAACTTGGTTTTTACATAATTATAACTATAATTATATAATAAAAATTATTTTGAAGTATTGTTACATATATGTTTTTAATTATATATAACTTATGTTTTTTTCTTATAGATTTAGTTATTTTATTTTTAGAACTTTAGAATAATATTTTAAAATTATAAAATAATTTGGTCTATTGAATCAAATATTTCAATATATATATATATATATATATATATAGAGAGAGAGAGAGAGAGAGAGATACAATATAAACTTGATATATTTAGTTTCTGAATTTTTTTTATTTTATTTTGTAATTTTAGTTACTAAATGTTGATTTGTTAGTGAATTGTATCTACATAATATTGTGTAGTACATCATTAACTATTTTAATACATCAATTTATCATTTTATTAAGAAAAAAATTCCCTGAGTCAAAAAGAATAATATTGATGTCAAAATTCTCCATAGAATTTACAATTTTAAAGTTACGTAAATAAATTAAAAGGCATGTATTAGTTGCTTTAAAACCTAATGTTAATAGAGTTCTAAATTATTGATATCAATTCCAGTTTAAGTTACTGTTTTTTGATACTTCGAAAGCTTTAACTAGTTAAGTATCTAATCAGATTTGGTAAAATCAATACCCTTGTATAGATATAAATACAGACGTCGATTTTGAACTGATGCAAAAAAAGTAAAAACATTAAAACATCATTGGTTTCAAAAACAAATTGGAATAAAATCAGAACTCAATTCAGACTGCATTCATTAGAGAGTGTCTCTCCCACTCACTGGTATGCACGCTAAGACATATTTGTCACGTTGTTATGAGTTTCAGATATTGTTTATATTTGAATCAAATCACAAAAAGTTACAAATTCTAACCAAATCAAGAGAGAGGATAAGGCGAAGGAATCTTTCAAAGAATATGCACCCCTGGGCGACGAGGGATCGAACCCCACGAGGAGTAAGGGAGGAAAGTCCAAGGAAGGTTCACACCACAGCCGGTCCCCACGCACGAAGGCAAAAGCGCAGGCTGCAGCTGCAGCCATGGCTGGAACCGCGGAGTCCAAACCATAAGTTCCGAAGGCAAGAGCTGGAAGCGTAGATGGCTAGAGCTGACACGGCACAGAAGCAGGAAAACGCAAGGGATTGGAAGATATGCATCAGCAAGCAGTAAGGATCAAACAGACGGTCGCGACAGAAGCGACGATACAAAAAAAGGAGCTAAAAGCAGCCGCTCGTTGCGTGTACGAGGTGGAGGGGGGAGAATCACAGTCCACTGAGTAAGTGGGGGGATTCGAATAGTAATACATGGCAATGCCGTCACGCCAAGTGTTGCGAAGCACCCAGAAACGGAACTGGTCACGGCAGCGAAGAGAATGGTCGACGAGGGGCAAATTAGGTCATCCACCGCGCAGATGAGAGGCGGCCACGTAATGGATCGGGGGGATGTCGATTTCAACTGCCCCTTATCCGGCTGCTGTGAAGAGCCCCCCCCCCCCCCCCACCGCCCTACCATGAACCTAAGGTCCTCACCACAAGGAGCGGATAGAGGCTTGGCGACGTCGGTTGGTCGGAGGGGCCTCTTAATTGCGTCTCCTGCTGCTGCTGTCATACAATCTTCACAGGACATACATGAGGGTGCGCGGTGTCCCTTGTGAAGGGGGTAGTGCAAGGATTCGGAATGATGGGAGCTCTGGAATCATCCGCAACGTGCATCCCACGCAGGCTATCTTGCACGGCAGCAGCGCGGCGAATGTAGCCCTCAGGTGCTTGGGTAGGGGCCTGCCTGATCATGGTTTTTTCATTCGGGGAGAGGTGGATTGAGCCGAGATGAGTCTCGTTGAACGACATCTTTATCCATCCGAGCACCCCAATCCGCAGATGCCTCCGGAGACCTGAAGGGGTATTTGATAAGCTATTGTGGATGCAGCAACAGGGATGATTTTTTTATGAAAAAATTTATTCGGGAGGCCGCTGGTGTGTAGTGGAAATTTTGAATGGTGTTTCAGCTGCTGTTATGGCCCGGGGGAGAGTGAGGGAAGTCTGAAACAGACACCGGTGGAGAGGCCGTGAAATTCTGGGAGTTGATTGTTTGTGGCGAGAGTATGTGGGTTGCAGGTGTTTGGACTCAGGGAAGAATTTTGGATTCACTGAGAGAGGTATTTGACTGGAGATAGTTGTCATCGCGTTGTGGGGGTCATTTGGTTGACTTGAGTTGGGTGTGAGGGAGCTAGCCCTTTATTTTATTTTTTTGTTTTTTGTTTTGTTTCGTCTTTCAGGGAATTGGTCACCACTTGTGACTGTCCTCGTCTACCCCGAGGCGAAAGAAGCGTTGTGAGGTTTAAGCGAGGTTTTTCCCAAGTGAAAATTGAGCACTGTCGCCGCAGTGGCACTTGGCAATCTTCATTGAGTCCTCGGCGCAAGTAAAATGGCTCCTAGGGCCGGCAAAGCCAAGGTCGGGAAGATCAAGGGCGAGAAGAAGAAGAGGGAGGAAAAAAGTGAGAATTGATTTTGCTTCCAGCTTCATGCCCTCGTGTCCTTTTGTTCCGTCCAGCTTTTGGGACATGCAGTTGTCAATCAGGAAATCGCTACCTTCTGGGAATTCTGTCACTGCTGAATAGATAAGTCGGAGATGATGAGGAAATAGTTTGTGTAAGAATTGGAGTTTGTAGGTCAGAGGATAGAGCCGCGGGACCACTGTGGAGTCAAGAGTCATTTCGTTGCGGTTTGTGATTGACCGAGTTGTTGCGGTTCATCTCTGCAGTTCTCCCAGCTGTGTTGGACCTCCAGGTAGTTCTTCCCGACGAGAATCAAATCACACTGAAGGTGAGTTGATCACCTGGTATATTCGCTCATGCAAGTTCTTGTGTTATCTGCGTCCCCGATGTTAATGTATTTACGGTATAATTGTATCGGAAGAATTTAGAGTCTAGAGAAGACTAAGGCAGTGGCTTAAAGCGAATAACGCGGTGTGAGTTTCTACGCAGGCAATCACTACGGATCGTCTTCTCGATGTGCGAAGGCTGCTCGCTGTGAATGTTGAAACTTGCCACGTTACGAATTACTCATTCTCGCACGAGGCAAGCACATCAATTTGAATCTCATCAACAATTTACAAATTAGCTTACTCAGGCGACGGCTCGTTATATCAGTCGTATTGATAGTCAGACTTCCACGCACAAAGTCTGTATTCGCGATCGTACCCACTAATTCTGGAACTTAACATTAAGTTATGCAGTACTGTTTCCAGATTAGCACGCATAAACGGGAGTGGAAGTAAAGCAGAATGGACTGTCTAAAAACATAAACAAACAAATAAGTAACAAGAAAGTGTTAGCATATCATTGAAACTTGGAGGTTTCCATGCAGGTTCAATAAAATGCACTCTATTTTAATATCATTTCAATGATTGTGACTATCTCTCATGTGAAAATAATCTCCACTGTGCTTGCGCAGGTCCGAGGAAATAAATTGCGTGACACATTCGAAGTTACTGCATTGAAGCCTTGTGTCCTCACCCTTGTAGAAGGTAACTGTGACTTCGTTCTCTTGGGTCAATACTTCATACGTAAGATGCATGTATAGATCTCGACTATAAAACTTCATACTTTTGTGCAGTTCTTGAACTTTCATACTCAAGGTTGCCGCGTACAAGCATCTTCAAATGAATCACTTCTAGCTAACAGGTTACTATCTGGATACAGTAGTCGCGGATGCAAAGGGCTCTTCATTACATGCATTGCTCCTTTCACTGTGCAGAGGATTATACCTCAGATTCGGCTATCGCTCACGTAAGGAGATTTCTAGACATTGTTGCATGCACGCACTTCTTTGGCCCCTCGCCTCAAGCTAAACTGAAGAATAATCAAACACAATCCAAGGATGGGTTAAATGGACAGGATGACAGTACCGCTAATGCAGAAGCAGATGGAACCACTGCTCAAGAGGGCAGCTTGGAGACCGGAAAGGTCTCTAATCGAGTCTTAACTAAGGTAGATGAAAATGTTACTTCTGAGAGGGTGGGTGCGGAAAAGACTACGTTCAGAGGGAAGCCTGAGGCTATGGCTGCTATGGCGGCTGCCAAAGAGGCGACAGAGAAGGGTGACATTGCTGGGATGTGTCCCCCTTCGAAGCTCGCACAATTCTTCGAGTTTTTCTCCTTTTCTCACGTTACGGCCCCTGTCCAATGTGAGTGACCTCAGATCTGTCTGATGCTTCTAGGAGCTTCTTGCGGATACTTGCGAGCTATTGTCCTTCCGGCTCGGATTTTTATTTTCCGGGGGTTCGGATTGATGCATTGGTGCTTACCAGTGCTGGAATAGTTCTTTTAAAGGTTAATGTCATCGGACTTATCACTGTTTTACGACTGCAGTTATTAGGCGATCGTCAAGAAGCCTGTCGGAAACTAAAATCGGAAGTAATTTACTTGTCCTCGACGTGAGACTTTGCAATGGAAAGCTTGTAACTGTAACAGTGAACGAGAAGGGTTTCTCCAGTTGTACTAAGCAGCTTTATGAGGAACACTCCTTGGTAGCACTGCTCCGGAGACTTAGCAGAGCGTTCGGGAAGGTGATTACATACACATAATAATAATTTTCACTAACTTTTAAAGTCTTTTGACAGTCACCCTCTAATATCTAAAGCTTTGACCTTCATTGATTCCTTACAGAATTCTATGACCGCTCTGTGCAGGCTTACGACAATCTGATGAAAGCACTTCTGGAGCGCAACAAGGTACACCGTAATATTTGTCTGTAGAATTTTGTTAGGATTCTGGCAGTGGATTTTTGCTCGCTCGAATATGCTACAAAGGACATGCTATAACTTCTCAACCTTGATTTGCAGTTTGGAAATCTTCCACATGGTTTTCGCTCCAATACATGGGTAGTTCCCCCAGTCGTAGCCAATGCCCCTGCAGAATTCCCTTCACTTCCCACAGAAGACTCTGCGTGGGGTGGCAATGGAGGAGGTAAAGGGAAGGACGACCCTGGTTCCACTCGTAATTGGGCACAAGATTTTGCTACCCTCGCCACCATGCCATGTGCAACAGCGGAGGAGCGTGAGAGTCGAGATCGGAAGACATTTCTTCTGCATAGTGTCTTCGTGGATCGCGCCATAGCTGAGGTACATTTCAATCCTACTAGCTTCACCATCACCCATTAAACTCTCTCCTTGCCTGACTCAATTCTCAGACCCAAATTCGGATGCTCATTGCAGGCGACCAATATTGTCCAACAGTACCAGGACGTGGGCGTGCAAAGTGAAGTGCTTTTAGAAGAAAGAGAGAACATTAAGTTTTCAGTACGAAGAGACATCTCAGATGCAAGTAAGAAGGTTGAGTCAACAATTCGAGCCGGTCAATTCCAGGGTTTGCAGGAGACGGGTCTCGCAATGAGGAACCTGGTGAAGGGTATTACAGCTAATGAGAGCACGAGTATACATGTAATGCTTCCTCCGTGCGAATAATTTTCCCTGAGTTCGTCAGGGAGTATCCATGCTAGAATTTCGGAGAATCTTGGGCCATTTTGGATTATGCCTGAATAATGGATGTTATTGAATGTAGGACTAATGAATCCTCTGATTCCGTTGGTTTTCAGGACACTGCATCCTTGGGCCAAGTATTTGTCCGTCACAGGGGATACATTGTTGTAGCTGAAGCTGCTGGTCCTGTTCTGGAAGATGGACAGAATGCTCCCACTGAGGTAATTATTGATGAACAGCCTGATGGTGGGGCGAATGCCTTGAACGTTAACAGGTGACGCTCTAAGCTTTTCAGCCTCTAGATGACGTGAACTCACTGATTAATGAAAGAATATCAATGAAAGAATGTAAGGTTAACTGCAGTAGTATCACGAGTTGTGTATTACAAATAATTGGATTGGAAAAGGATTGGAAACGTTACTGATCATTCCAAATTTTGTGTTGTGAAGTCTCCGTACGCTGTTGCACAGCAAGCAGAAAGGTAATGCACGTCCGGCTGCAGACGTCGACCAGGTTCGCATTGCCCAAGAGCTTCTTTCTTCAATACTCCAGGAGAGCACGAAATCCCTGGAGGACGAAGAAGGGAGACGTCCTGCATTCCTGCGATGGGAGCTTGGTGCGTGCTGGGTTCAACACCTTCAGACTGAGGCAGCTGCTTTGAAGGAGAAAAAAGAATTGGCTGCGAAGGATAGTAGTGAAGGTGGTAATAAGGCTGCTGTCAAGTCCAGTAGTGCCGCATCTGAGAAAAGTCAAAGTGCAGAGGAGTGTATGCAGGGAGCTGGAAATGCTGCGCCTGAGCTTGCAGTACCAGCAGAGTTGATGAGACATTTATCTTCTTGTACCCTTGCTCGTCTGAACGAGTCCGCATCGTTACTTCAGTGCAAGGTACGCAGTTTGTGGAGACTTCTGTTTTTGTTGGATGTCAACACTACATTGCTTTCCAGCGTCGCGCTTCCGCGTTTCCTCATAAATTATTTATCTCTAATTCCTTCAGACTTTACTTAACAGTCACTGGAAGAGCTAATGGACGGAGCGCGACACTACTATGAAGACGTAGCACTTCCGAAGTTGGTAAGTTCATGTGGATTAAGGAATACGTATGTCGAGACTGATTGATACCATTAATGTACGGAGGTGATTTGAGAGTCCACTTAGCACTCAGCATAGCTGTGACTTTGCACAGCAATAATCTGGAGCTCATTTTGACCACCGCAACCATGGTCGCTATTTTTGTAACAGGTGGCAGACTTTGGATCCCTTGAGCTCTCACCAGTGGATGGACGTACTCTTACAGATTTCATGCACACTCGGGGTCTACAGATGCGTTCCTTGGGGAGAGTGGTAAGCATTTCAACACACAAGATTGCGTGGCTACATTACATTTGGGTCGTTTATCTCTAGGTCGTTGTATTTGACTCAAGTTCGTCTCACTGTAAAGACTAATTAGAGCCATCAAACAACCTATCTCGGTCAATGGAACATAATTGATTGAATGGAAGTTATGCTCGACGTTGCAGGCGGATCTAGCTGTTAAGTTGCCTCATGTGCAAGCTCTCTGCGTGCATGAAATGGTGGTTCGTGCATACAAGCATCTACTGCAGGCTCTAGTAGCTGCAACGAAATCGACATCTGATTTGGCAGCAAATATAGCTGAAGCTCTAAATTTAATGCTTGGGACAGCGATGGAGGAAGAAAATACTGCCGTTTATCAGTGGGTTAAGACATTTGTCAACAAGCGCTTTGGTTGGAAACTCGACAAAAGAAAGGAATTTGCAGAGATTCGGAAGTATGCTGTTCTTCGAGGATTATGTCACAAAGTGGGTATCGAAGTCGCCCCCCGTGACTACGCTTTCGATACCTCAACGCCATTTAGGAAAACCGACATTATAAGCATGGTTCCAGTGTACAAGCAGGTTGCCTACTCTTCTGCTGACGGCAAAACATTGCTGGAATCATCTAAGACAGCGCTTGACAAGGGTAAACTTGATGATGCAGTGGCATATGGTACTAATGCCTTGGCGAAGTTAGTAGCTGTTTGCGGACCTTATCATCGAATGACTGCAGGTGCGTACAGCTTATTGGCAGTAGTGCTGTATCACACAGGAGACTTCAATCAGGCAACAATCTATCAACAAAAGGCCTTGGACATTAATGAGCGAGAGCTTGGTCTAGATCATCCAGATACCATGAAGAGTTATGGGGATCTGGCAGTATTTTATTATCGCCTTCAACATACGGAATTGGCACTGAAGTAAGTCCTGGAAACAAAGTTAAAGTTTCTGAAATCGTTCAGTGTTGATAAGATTGTTCTGCGTAGTGCCGCAATGAGTCAAGTTGAAACAGTGTGCAAGTATTGCCGCTCAATTTTTGTTGTTGTTGGGATGCAGGTATGTTAATAGAGCACTGTACTTGCTACATTTAATATGCGGTCCTTCCCATCCAAACACTGCAGCAACATACATTAACGTCGCGATGATGGAAGAGGGCCTGGGAAACATTCATGTTGCTCTGAGGTATTTACACGAGGCTCTGATCTGCAATCAGCGGCTTCTGGGAGCTGACCACATTCAGGTTTATTCCGACCCTCAATTCTGCTGGGACACTAATTACTTCCAGCTGTGACGTCGTGAATGACGGTGTAACCATTAGAGCTGTAATCGCTGCAGTTTTTTATTTTATTATTATTATTATTATTATTTTCAAAATTACTTTTTCTGCAGACTGCTGCGAGTTATCACGCTATCGCAATTGCGCTTTCCCTGATGGAGGCGTACTCCCTCAGTGTCCAGCATGAACAAACCACCTTACAGATTTTACAAGCTAAGCTTGGTACAGACGATCTTCGAACACAGGTTCATCTGCTTATCTCTTTTCAAATTTGAAAATCGAATGTATCATGACTTCCCACACAAATTTTTGTTTCCCTTAGATGTCTAGTTCTTCGTTACAGAATTCCAATTCAGGAATATGGTGTCCTTTAGCTCATTACCCACAATGGCTAAGCGGTTTAACTGCGCGTGCCATGATGGAATGTCACGACGGCAGTCTACATGTCACATATTTTTTGATATTTTGTTAATCTAGTGTGTTTTTCGGACTATTCAGGATGCAGCCGCCTGGCTGGAGTACTTTGATTCTAAAGCTCTGGAGCAACAGGAAGTTGCTCGGATGGGAACGCCAAAACCTGACGCTTCAATTGCCAGCAAAGGCCACCTTAGGTAGTTTCTATGCTCATATTTATTTCATTTTCTCGCTATCACCAAACAACCGTATCAGTTAGGTTGTCAGCATCGAGACTTGCTATGATTTAACTTTCGGACTTTTAAACTTGTATTAGATAACAGTAGCTGATACATCGAGCAGAGAAGTGAACGTTTTGAGGAATCTGGTGAATAATCCAGAACTACGTCGGGTCCTTACAGTGTCTCATTCATACTCATGCCGGTTGTAACAATTAGTGTGTGGTTTGTATAGTGTTTCGGATCTTTTGGAGTACATCAATGAAGCTGAGCAGAAAGACAAAGAAGCCCTCAAGCGAAAGGCGCGGAAAGCTAAGGCATGTCTAACCACACTTAATTTTTGACCATCTAATCTCAAGTTCTTCTAGATTTCACGTAGGTTGTTGTTCCACTCACTAGGGTCTGGCCAAACGTACTTCTTATGCCGCCTGAAAGAGCATTGCATGAACTTTTCGAGTCTGATTTATGAAGAACGTAGACATCTGTGTGGATGTCCCTCTGGTGCCTCACAATGAGGTTGAAGTCAATATGATCTTGGTGAAAATGTTTCCTGGTCCTAGCATAGTTTACTGTATCGCTTGATTCGAATCAAAGATATTTTCTTTTACGTTGGCACTATTTCATGATTTGTGTGCTGATTATTAAAACACCGTCAGCTTCAGGGTAAAGACCTAGGTGCCCCGCAAGGCCTGTTTTCATCATCTCAAACTAGCACATCTGAAGGTGCTATTGAAGATGATTCCGAAACTGTCGTTGATACTGAGCCTTCAGCGGAAACGATGGAGACTATATCGTCGCGAGTGGCATTGGAGCCTGAGCAGACCCTGATTTCTTCTTCACCAGTCAGCGAGGCTGTAGCTCTTCAAGTGGAACCATCAGTAACTTCCACAGATGATGAAGAAGGCTGGCAGGAAGCCATCTACAGAGCTAGATCCATAGCTAGTAAGAGGAGACCCATCCATGGGCATTTGAGTCAAGATTCAACCCGAAAGGGTTCACCTAGTTATCACAGATCTCAAGGTTCGGGTAACGCAAGTGGTGGCGACTACAGCCGTGGAAGAAGCGGCGGTCCAAAGGGAAACAATCATGGCAACGAAAATTTGCAACCACACGCAGCTGGTTTAGGAGTTTCCGGTAAATGTTCTTCGAGGAGAATGCTTGCAGGTCCTGCTCAACCTGTTTCGTCGTCTAAGACAGTTCCTGTGGTAGTCGCTGTGCCTGCCACACCTGAAGTAAATAATGAAAAAAAGGAAGTAGAAAGCGTGAACCAGGAATCTATGGTGTCTCAACCTCATGCACCAGTTCGCCAGCACTCGACTAAGTTTTCGAAGACGGGGGTACCTGGAAAAGGGTCCTTTTCTTACAAGGAGGTTGCACTGACTTCTCCAGGAACTATGTTGCAATTACGCTCAGTGTTGGAGGCATCAACCGTTACAAATGCCTCGCATCAGGGTAATGTTGCTCCATCTGTTTCTTCTGAAACCATGAAGACAGTGGATGATGCTCAAGTTGAAGCTGCCCCGATTGAGGCCTCTTCAGTAGAGGCTACTCCAGCAGAAGACGTGGACACCAAACGCACTGTCTCTGAAACGGCCAACTTATCTGCTGCATCTACCTCAACACCGGCAGAGGTGGAGGTGGAAGTGGAGCCTAAGGAACGGATTATTGAAACCGTTGAGCCTTCAGTCCCTGCTCTATCATTGAAGATTCCTCCTCAAGGCTCGTGTGAGCTAAATGACAGTGTGACGACAGACAAGCCTATGGGAGACGAAAGTCCCGAGTGCAGAACAGCCGAAGCCATTGATGAACAAACGCCTGTTCTCGCTACAAACTCTACTGACGGCGGTTCTGAAGGCACAACGAACGTCACTTCGGAGACGGTCGATATGGCATCCCCCAGAAGTGATGATGATTCGTCTGCTGCTGCGGCCAGGAGATTATCAGCTGCAGCACCACCATTCAACTCGAATGGTTCCTCCACGACCAGTGTCTCCCTCAGAGCTGTCGCCGTTACCCCATTCAAGGATGGGAGAAGTCCACCAGCTGGAGCGGGTCATCGCCCACAAATCACTGTGCCGCCTCCTCCAGTCCCCGCTACAGTAGCAGTTACCCCGATTTGCAAAGTGACCCACGCAACCTTAGCAGCTCCACCAGTATACTACATTGACCCATTGCCCCATATGGGAGTCATGCATGGCGGCGTAGTGCCACTTCGTCTGCCACCTTTTCCTCCCAATGCTCTCGTAGATGAAGCTCATCCCCCCCTTCGTAAGATTTCTTCCCCGTTACCAACTCGAACGAAGAAGATGAATCCAGACGCAGCGGAGTTCATCCCATCGTACCTGAGAGATTTACCCGTCTTGTCAACGCACCCTCGGGCCGCTTCAGCTGAGAACCTCCCATCTGCCGCACAACTAGAAAGACGGGATTCTAGTGCACTCGCAGATGCGGCACCTGGATCCGCCAGTATTGGCGATGGTAATGCCAATGAGGCTGACGAAACTGTGCAGTCCGATGGGGTAGACGCTAACCGGCCAGTTAACAGAGTCCCCGACGCAGAGGACCAATCCCGGGTGAATTCAATGGCATCTCACCCTGAAACTGAGAGCGGCACTCCACATGAAGTGAAACGCGTCACAGTCCAATAACGGTGAGTCTTCATTCCAAACTGCACTGAATCCTTTTCGGCTGATTATGTCTCAGTGCAGTCCGAGTTCTTTTCATGAAAGGTGTAGTTTACCTGCAAAAGTTGAATTGCACGCGTGCTTTTCAAACATCCCTTCAAACTCTCCTGCTAGTCATGAGTTAGGAATGGTTGTATTGTAGCTGTCAGATGCTTGACGGACTGCCTACATTGGGAGCTTATGGTAGACTATCATGGCAGTTGGGGCCGGTAATAACTAACTGTCTATTGTGTTATGCAGATTCGTACATACGGGAGGGCAACTATTGACCTGATAGAAGAAGCCGAAGCAGCTGTACAAACAAATTTTGACAGGGAGTTTAGGAGATGACGACTCCATGAAAAAAAAAAAAAACAAAACAAAACAAAAACAAAAACAAAAACGAAAACGAAACAAGACATATTACAACAAAACCGAACCAGCAACTTTCGGAACTTCCGATTCAAGACAGCTCAGGAAGTACCAAATATCATCTACAAGCATTACATTGAGCTGGGTAGTAATGCTTCGCTCAGTAATCTTCTTTTTAATTATGCGTGACGCATATATTAGAGAGATCGAGACGAAGGTCCACTCCTATTTCTATCCACCTGATACCATACTCATCCAAGCCCTTATCAAAATTGATGCTGAAAATCAACGGCAGGAGCAGGTGGTAACAGTGGGACTTTCTATGTCAGCAGTCTGTCTGATTGAAGATGCTGATGCACTGACGATGCAGGGAATTGGTGGATTTTCGCTTGAAAAAGAAAACTTCAAATCACATCAAATTTGTATATCCGTATCAACCATCAACTAGTGCCGTTACCTACCAATTTCACAGTGCTATCTCCGAAACCAACTTGTGTCTTACCATTCCCAGTCCCGTTCATCAGCATGTCGAATGAACGCGTTTTGGACGGTTGATTGCAGTTGGCGTTTGTTTCAGCAACTGCACTGTCTGCCCGCTCGATTCCCCTCCCGACAACCCCAAGATCGGTCACAACAGCTGTTGAAGAGGTGAAATTAGTAAGTTTTGGCTGATCAAACCCATTAGACGTCACCATGCCATCCGCTACAGCAGAAAATGGTGATCCTCCAGAACCACTAGCTTGGCTCTCTGCGACTATCGAGAAAAGTTGCGTCATACTGGCTGCCGCTTCAGGATTCGCTGCTTGAAGTTGCTCAACTAAACTAGGAGCTGCTGCCATTTCTTTTAACTCTCGTTCCTGCAACCAGTTACAATGACCACCTAAATTGTTAAACTTGCATTGAAGAAACAAATCATGTATAGTAAATACAGGTGTAGGTAACACTTGATGAACGAGTGGCACTAGTTCACCTTATGTTTGAGGTCCACCAGTAACTCCTTAATGTCTTCGATCTCAGTGGCTTTCGACTCTGCTCCAGATTTTTCTTCCACAGGATTCGCTTGATCATTTTGTACAACATCGTCTGAACTATGATGGATTTCCTCCATCGTTCTATTAATTGGAGGTTCAGGTTGCTTGTTGTCCAGAGAAAAGGGAGCTCCTGAGGACCCTGGTGCATCGACCCCTTCGGTTTGTAAATTAGCTAGTTCATGCTGAAGTCTTAGCAAACGAGACTCACATACAGCGACTGCGTTACTGCAGTACGTAAGTGCCTCCTTGGGTTTTAAATCGAGTTGTTTAGCAATTGCAATCTTAAAGTACCTGCAAGGCACAGATACAAATAAAATTTATGAGGGCTACACATCAGGCAGTAGACACGAGTATCGCACTAGAAGCAGATCATAGCAAAGCAATGAACAAAAAGGCAAGCATCCTTCTCTGCATCCTCCAGACATCGACCTCAAAAGAGAGGCTAGTTTTTCTAATTGAGCAATAAGGCTCCAGTTATCAGGTGAAGAATACAGCATTACAGTTCAGCTAGTATCCGTGAATCTGCTTCCACGATTTGCTTCAGCATTTCCAACGCCTTGGCATAGTCGTCACAACATGACTCGTAATTTTCTGCATGCAAATAGCCTAGATCAACACAGTTCAACCCACAACAAATGCAACTAGCAAGAAGAAACAATGAGCTGCTTGTGCTCAAATGTGCAACACAATCTACACTGTACTCTCTATAAACAAATTCACTGGTTAACACACAATGTACACAACAGCCTCGAAGTTGATCAGAAAGTTCATATATAAATTCTAAAATAAGTCATAAAAGCTGGTACTTCAGACCTTTGAAGCAGTTTACGTCTGCAAGTTCGGTTATGATGTCAACAGTCTCAGTAGTACAGCTGCCCTGCTTTTCATGGATAACTCGAGCAAATTCCAGCATCTTCCAAGCATCCTCTAGGTCTCCTTCCTCTTCCTTCCCTTCTTCACCCTCGCCCATAGCCTCATCTTCGTCTCCCTCACCGACATCTCCGCCGGCCTCTTCTTCAGGGTCTTTTCCAGTGACCTATGCTTCAACTGCAGCTGCACAAGCAAATAGAATTTTCATCAGCATGCTGGACAAACCAACCTACAAGACTTAACGCATCATTCCCTCAACTGAAACTCAATTAAAGCTCACAAGAACAACTGCTCCAGATCTACATCTACTGCACCAGATCTATATCTACTGACACATCTATCCTCGAGAGTCACAAGAGCAGAAGTGTGTCCTCTGAAGATTTGAATCGTGTGTTCGTGAAGAATATGAAAACTTTTGAAGACATATGACAACAAATACTCAGATAATGGCGGGACTTTTAAGCTACGAACGCGGCATGACAAAAAATTGTCTAAAATCCTCATACGAACCCTTGCCTCCTTTCGGCGATTTAAGTGGCGAAGTTGTATATTCATTCTCGTTGTATTCATGAATAGCACGAAAAATCGAAGTCAGATGACACATGCTAATTAGTAGATTTCGTGGATTCCCTGTGCACTCATCGCAATGGGAGTGGAATGCAAGCCATTTAGGGAGAAACCTTTGCTTGAAGAACCTTCCGGATGAGAGGATGAGTGTGCAGCATTTGAATTCACAGTTTCGCCAAGGGGATCAGCCTCATCCTGAAGTTTGTCGAATAAAGCACATCCATATTTATAGTAGGTTGTAGCACACTCGGGCGCGAGCTCTCCAAAAAGCCGGACACTGCAGCATTCAAGCGCGTGGAGCACAACCATGAAATTTGTGAGGGAAATCGTGTTTGAAGGTCGTTGCACCATTTTCGGTCGGACATTTTGGCTACACACGAGGACGAGGCTAGATCTGCAGTGCAATTCGTATGGAAAACCAAATACTTCCCGGATAATACACAAGAAACACAAAAGTTACAATAGAAGAAATGTCGGCATATTGAACAGAGGCGGAATTAGCTACATTACAAACAGTATTGCAAATCGGTCTACAGGTGGGAACCTGAAGTCAGAGTAACCATCTAGAATCTCATCTCCTCTAATACCTATACAACACAAACCCTGATCGCAGTGCTATCTGCTGCAGATGCACCAAGTGCTACCACCATGCGAATTACGCAGCTACAACTAGAGCATAGGATGCCAACTACCTTGATTAACATAGCCCAACAGTTCAGACGTCTGGGTTACTACACCATTACAGTGGCGAGAGCAGAAAGCCATTAACAATACAGGACCCCTTCCAACAAAGAAACCAGCTAAAATACAATGTAGCTCGCCAGCTTCTTCGAGATGAAGCAAAAAACCTTGACTTCTGGAGATTCTTCAAAACACCGACTCAACACCATCGTTCACAACTACGCCTACAAAATAAGTAACCGCCACGACTTCAAAATTTCAAGCACAGAGTATGCAGCTACATACTGGCAAGTCCAATGATAAAATTGATGTCAATCACAACTTAACTCCTACGACCGTAACCAAAACATAAGCTATCAACTATCAAGCTGGAGCAGCAACCAGCATGCAACCTCACCATCAAAGTCGAAATCAAATAAAATTGAAAAAAAAAAAAAAAAAACAAAACAAAAAAAAAACACGTGATTAACACTCACCGAATCTTGAGAGCCTTGCTGAAACATTCAGCAGCGTCCTCGAACGCCTCGTTGTGTATAAACTCGCACCCGTCGTCGAACAACCGATGTGCCTACTCCTCCAGGTCCGCAGACGCAGCAGCAGAGGAGGCTTCCCCATTCACGCTGCCATTGCTCGTGCTCGCCTCCATCACCATGGCTCCCAAAGCAGCTCGACAATCACTTGCACAATCAATCCGTCTTACGATTGATGGATGCTCTCCGCGAAAGAACAGCACAAATCGTATCACAATACACAGATCACGCCTCCGATTGCGAGTATACCAATCGACCTCACCATCGCGAATGCGATCCCCCACAGATCGACGACGTCGACACTGAGTTCCTAAAATCCCACATTCAAATAGACATGTTAATACCTTGGTTTACGGTGGAGTTTACGATTAGGGTACTAATGACGGGGAAATTGACGACAGGCTTTTAAGGCTCAACGGACAGATAACAAAGACATCCATTATCATGGATGGATTAAGAGGATGAACTCCTGCGTGTGGATGATAGATTGAAGTAGTGTGGTCTTGAGTGTAGATTCTAAGACCGTGTCCGCTTGTCACGGTCGAGGGTCGTTATTGGTGGTTTCTATGACCACAGGGTTTAAGGAAGTGGGAGGTCTTGTTAAATCTGTGATGGCGTTCCTTTAGGGTTTTAGAGTGCTGTAGTGATCGTATTGACTGCGATCAGGACACGATTGAGACATTATTTTGGATCGATTATGATGGCGTTGTGAGGTTTTGTTGGATTGGTTCCCGAAGAATTTTGGAAACTGTGTAGAGTGGGCTTTATTTTGGATTTTCTGGTTTTCTGAGATGTATGCGGCGTTGAAATTGCTGCGGCGGACGAGCTGTCGTGGGTTGGCTCCGTCGGTTGCACATTTGGAGCAATCGGCGTGGATTGGGTTCAACAGATTCTTCACAGTGAGGAGTAGTGGTGATAGCAGCGATGAGGAGCGCAGCACTTTGAAAATTGGCACTCCCGAGCCATCAGGGCCTGTGAGGGATGCGGACTTGGAGGCTAGAGATGCCAAAGCTCAAGCGGAGGCGATGGGGCTGCTCAGGGCTGCCCTTGACGAGGCTAGTGAAGAGGAAGAGGATTTTGCCGTCAGTGAGGAGGATCAGAGGTCCCTCAGAGTAGGCGTTGTGGGGTCTCCTAACGCGGGCAAATCTACTCTCACAAATCACTTGGTTAGGCCCTTGACTTTGCTGACCCAAGTCTAGAATGTTGTAGCCATTTCAATTTTTGGTTCGCTATTTCAATTTTCATGCCTTGCCATTGATTTTGCCTAGTTTCTGCTATTTCATCGCGATGCTACTTGCATGTTCTCGGTACAATTTTATTTTATTTTTTGTTTTTCCATTCCTGCAGAGAGTTAGATTGTTTATTCAGTTTTCAATGGCTATTCCATGACTGAATTGTGATTCTGATAGTTAAGTCTGAATTTCTACCATCGAACTTGTAGAATCAGCTTCCTCTTGAAATACTGTTCTTTACTTTTCTTCATTATTGTGATTGTAGATGTTTCCTAGTTGGTTCGTAGAATATGTATAGCATTTAATTGTCGCAGTATTTCTTGATCTTGCTAGTACCATTGTCTGTTCAAGTTTTTATTTGGTGCTTTGATAATATCGGGACTTAAATTATGTTCTGATTGCTGCTTGATGAAAGTGAAGGACCTGGTTTTTGTAGTGAATTAATTGTGAGTCTAACACTTAGCACGAATGTTGCAGGTAGGGTCGAAGGTATCGGCTGTTTCAAGGAAAACAAATACAACACACAAGGAGCATATGGGTATACTCACTAAGGGTGATAGCCAGCTGGTATTATTTCTACTTCACCTCTTCAGTTTTTCAATACTACGTCGTCGCAGTCACAACGAAATGTCATGCCTCTCCTGCTGTGCGCAGATGAAAGCTGTGCCAAAATAATGTTCTTTTTTGGTTTTTGTGCTTGAAGAACGGTACGAGTCTTTTGAAATGGTGATTGTAATTTCCAGGAATGCTTTGGCAGATTTTCTTTGATACACCAGGTTTGACGGTAGACGTGAGGGGACATCCCTTGAGAACAGATAACCGCAATCGAGTGCGCAGTGCTTGGCAGACCGCTGAACTTTGTGAAGCTCTAATTGTGCTTGTTGATGCTCATCGTCAAATTGAAAGGTACGTATGCTTTACCAGTTCAATCCGGATATATTAATGTCATTCTTGAAATCCGACCTGGTAAAATGCTTCATGTGCGGTTCGTCTCTTTTTACTTCCACGCTTTTAACCTTGATCTTCAGCATCTGACGTTTAAGCGATTTTATTATATTGGGACCTGGTCAGTTAATTTATGAAAGCGACTACTTGGCTTTGAGGATGGATGTTTGCAAATGCAATCGTGGTTAAGTTTGCTTGCACATAACTTTGGTTGCTTTCTTCTTCAGACCCGATAAACGTGTGACTCGCTTAGTCGAGAAGCTTGGGAATGAAGAGGTGTTATCACAGAAGAAGATATTGTGTTTCAATAAGGTATATCCTTCTTCTGACCTTTTAGAGCATGAATTGAGTTTTTATCCAAAGATTGGATGTGCAATTACTCGCATGCGTTGGATTTGAAAGTGTATTACTAGGGTTTTATTGAGGTAGAGTAATGTTTCCTTGTTTACATTTGAGGTTTGCTCAGACTGCTAGTGAATGAATTGGTTTATCGAAAGGCGTCATTAAAATTACCGTTCTATAGTAGTCATCCATTTGCATGGCTGAATTTGCGCTACAGGTAGATTTGGTGCATCCCAAACGATTGCTGCTACCGTTGGCGGAGGAGTATGGCAATTATCCAGCATTCAACAGGTTTGTTCTCCTTTTACCACGTGAGAGTACGTATTGTGGGTTTTCCTTTATAATAAGATTAATTGTGATTATTCATGTCCTATACAGCACATTCATGATCTCAGCCTTGACTGGAGATGGTGTGGATGCATTACAGCAATATCTCCTAGATCAGGTATGATTCTCTACTTACTCACCCAAACAGGTGTGACTTTTGATTTACATGGTAAGATTACCATTGCAAACCTTCACATTATTAAGGTCTGTCTTGTAAGACAATCATGCAACCGATTTGTCCTATGTTCTGCTTCTATCTTGTATTGTATTGTATCGTCAACAACATTGCGTCTTCTGCAGGCAGTGCCCAGACCCTGGGAAGAAGAGCCAGAAGCTAGACCGCAACGATTAGCACGGGCAACAGCTCTGGAGATTGTCAGACAACACATCTTTGATTGTTTGCACAAGGTTTCATCACCTCCAAACTCGCTGGTTCTTGAAGAGTAGGCTTTACGCGTAGTTATGTGATTTTAGGAGCTCATGTTGCAAAGTTTTTTCTTTTGAATTTAACTTTTTAGTGGTTGTAATCGTGTTTTGATTCCCTTGTTGGCTTGCTGCGTCATGCGTCATGCGACATGCGACATGCATAATAACGTACCATCTCGATGTTCAGGACATTTTCTCTCTAACTTTTGTATGTGATAGCAACGAATTTTTCAGGGATTGCAAAGAGTAGTTACAGGATAATCTGATGTGACCTTAATCTGGTGCGGAGTGCTTAGTCCTCTTTGAGCGTAGAACCAGTTACTTGTCCTTTTATAGCATCTGAAAATTCGAAAAAGTTCCTAAGAAGTTTGTTGGATGCAGGAGCTTCCATATAGAATAGAGCAACGGCACCTCTCATGGAGAGTGTTGAAAGATGGGTCTATTCGCATCCACCATCTTCTCCTTGTTGAAAAAGAAGGTCACCGAAAAATTCTAGTAGGCAAGAACGGAGATGTTATCAGGTCAGCTGTGCTTCTTGAGTGGGTTTTCATGATCTCCGACCTAAATATTCTTCTCTTGAACCTGAAATTTTGTCTTCAGATGCTATGAATCTTACGCTTGTTTGCGCACTGACTAATCTTTCTAATGTGAAACATCTTGCTAGGCGGATTGGAACGGTAGCTCGTATGGAGCTGCAGAAAGTGTTAAACAACACTGTCCATTTAATATTAGATGTTAAAGTGTTGGAGCCAGGTCGCGATTTTCACAGTTCGTTGGAGGTGGTGGGAGGAGAACCCTTGTTCCTATAAACGATATGACACGCATTTGCGCAAGACATGGACTCCATTATAATCACAACTCACGTCCTTGATATTGTATTCCATGATTGAGGAGTTTTTCCAGCCTAGTCTCCTCTGTACATTAGTGTGTGGTTGTACCTCAAGCGCAATTCTGACCACCTTTTAGGTTAGAACCTTATGTTATTGCTTGGAAGTGGACAACTATTTTGCCGAGGTCTTTCTGTTGGAGAGACAAGACGCTGGTAAAGCCCTGAACTAGTTAGGTCGGAGGATGGTTCCACAACGAATTGAGTCGAGGCATGTTGCGTGTAGATCCCATGTGTTCGGGGTTTGGTGAGGTTTCGAACTCATGCATTGGGTGTACGCACGTCTTTCGAGCTATCAAACCTGTTAACTTGGGTAATGAAGTCATTAGCCCTAGTGGAACTTGAAATAGGTATGTAAAACACCTAGGCCAAGGGTTTTTGCACTTTGGGGAAAAGTTAAGTTGAGTATCAGTTCTCTGTAAAGGTTAGTTTTTTGCAATGACATTCCAGTAACGCACACATGATGTGTAGACAATATGCTAAATGTTGACATACAGTAGCCCGAGACCCTTTCAAGTGTTCATCATTGAGCTCATGATTTTCTCATCTCCCATATGATACTGGTTTGCCACTTAGTGGATAACACAGATGGAATGAAAACGTAGTTCTTGGAATCATTAATCACTTCTTTTAGTTTTGGTGAGCCCAAGAAGTGCATTTGATGGAGTTCTCTTTATGGAAATTTTTGCGTAAATGAGTGCATGAATCTTTTGTCCTCTTTGTCCTATTAATATTCATATAATTAGAATGAAATGTCTGACAAACTTGCAAATAGCTAGATGGAAGGTAAAAAGAGTCACATGTTGAACATCCCTATTGATAAATGTATTTATTCTTAAATTTTTAAGATATCGATGTGTGAGTTGTCAATTTTTGTGTTGCTGAAAAAAATGCATTCACTAAATATGCTCTTATATACACATACAACATATTTCATTGCAAGTTGATAGCTTGTGTTTTGCATTTGTTTTCATATTACAAATCATTTGCATCTGTTTAATGTCAAGTGTATATAAATATATAAATATATATATATATATGTACACACACATGTAATTTTTAATTGTTAGATTCTTTGTTGAAGCAAAACACTCTAATAAAGGCAGAAAAAGATTGTCAATGTATAGTTTCTTTGTGAATATTTGATCAAAAAAATAGCCATTGGGAAGGATTTTCAAAAAATTCTTCGTAGATTTATATAGCTGCTCCAAACTATGTTCCTTGATCTATTAGGAGATAAAGCTAAATTTTAAAAACATTTGATACAGTTTTTGTCTCTTTTCTTTGAGCCACTTGATACATGTGCATTAAAATTATTCATTTGCAATTTGAAGGTCCTATGCAGCCTTTTCATTACAATGAGTTTTATGCTTGTTTATTTAACATACTTTAATTTTTTTTTCTTACAATATAAGCATTGTAATCAATTATTCAACCAAATAAGAATCATGCACATAAACGTGTTTGATTTTTGGATAAAACAGGAAGTGATAGTGGTAAACCACTCAGGTGTTATCAATTCCATGCTTCAAAACCTAGCTTTAGTATCTCATAGATATTTTATTTATTTATTTAATTTAATTTTCAAAATTAAGAACCAAACATTAATAAAAATCATTAAAAGTTGATTATTGTAATTTCCATATTTTTACAATATATATATCTATATATATTAACTAACAATATAGTGTTTTGTATAATTTAATTTAAAAAATATTACTAATCATTATAAAATTGATATATATATATATATATATATATATATATATATATATATACACGCACATTTGTTTATAGATTTAATTTTTAGAATTTTTATTATAAAAATTAGAGACTGTTTGTTTTGAGATTTCAACAATATTGGTGCAGATTTTCTTATTAGGTAATTCTTTGCCTTCTTCAATATTTTCAAAGCTAAAGTCTGTAACAAGCACAAAGATTAATTTAAGTGTTCAGTCAATAGGATTAATATATATATATATATATATATATATATATATATTATTGTTATTTTTCACAAACACAATCTTATTACATATCAATTATTTAACAAAACTAATGCTAATATGCAATAATTCATTCAAAATATAATGTAAATAGAATTAATACTTTGGCAATGAACCACCGTATTAAAAACTCTGCTCAATAAGTATTAAGGTATTTCAAAATTGGTAAATAATTAAGTAATTTTATATTAGAAACAAGATAATACTTGATGTGTGATATTTATATTTATATTGAAATAAAAAAAAATTAGATTTTACAACTAAATATGAATTTTAGAGAGAGATTGACAGTTGAGTTTAAATTCAGAATTTAAGTTGTAAAGCAGGATGTAGTATTTAAATAATAGATTTAAAATATTATATTTTTGAGAGTGTATAAGTTGAAGGTAAATTTTAATTCTCAAAAGTAAAAATAGATTTTATAAGTTATTAAAACATTGTGTGATTTAGACTTTATGGTTTGGAGTTATTCATTTATTCATTTAATGTTTTTAAAATAATCAATATAAAGCTTAAAATAATTTAAAGATATAATTATTTTATTTTATAAAATTTAAATTCAAAGTCTTTTAAATTGGATATTAAAGACAATTTTTCATGTCCTTCTAATATTTTTTATTTTTTAATATTGTATTATATTTTCAAACTTTTCAATAGAATTGAATAAATTTTCAGTTATAAGCCTTTTTACAGTTTTTTTAAATATCATTTTTTAAACATTTTTCAAGATCTTTATTATTATTATTATTATTATTATTCTTACTACTACTATTTCACTGTGAAAAGAAGAAAAACCAGTAATGCCCATTCAAAGATGTTTTAAACTCTTCCATCCAAAAAATTAAAAAAACCAATATTCTACCAATGTTCTTTTGTATAAATAAATGTTAAATATTTTAGATTTAAGTCTGAGTAAAAAATATTTATTTTAATTTATTTCAAAATATTTAGACCATTTTATGGATTTGATTTGGAAGTATAGTTTTTTTTTTTTTTTTTTTTTTTTTTTACAACTTTTGAATTTTTATTAGTTGGTAGAGTTATTATGCTTATATTAAAGTTATTGGTGATAAAATAAAAAATATTCAATTCTAATTAGAAGATACTTCTCCTTGGTCAATTTTATACCATAATGGACTTTGAAGTCATTATATAAAGTTGTGCAACCACCATTAATAATGAATAGTAAAGTAATGACATTACTAAATGTGATTGACTTACAATATGAGGTAGTGCCTTTTAAAAATCTTAGACATGGATAGGATCTTATACCACGTCTTTAACAAAATAATAAGCAATTATCAAAGGAAATTCTTAATCCTACATTCTCAATTGATACTACTATATTCTAATTAACAACTACAAAAAAATCAAATGGAGTGGTTTTGCTTCCTAGCCAATAGATAAGATCAAAGGACAATTCGCTTGTGGGGGACTTCAAGGGCAAAGCCTCCAAAAAGATTTTTTTTTTGAACTTTGTATAGGCTAGGTGATTTTGGAATGAAGATGTTCTTTTTTGGAATCTTAATCTTCAAAATCATCTCTCATTTTTTTAATTTTTTTTTTCTTGTTTATTCTTTCGATTGGGATGCAATTTGAGAAGAAAGAAGTTCTTATATCCAAGCTTCTCACTGCAAAACATAATCTTGAATTGAGAAAGGTTTGATGCACAACAAGAAGTTTTTTTAGATAATAAAAATAATTTATTGTTGGATGGCAAGAAACAAGGTTGTTGGATTGAAGTCCATGGTTGACAAAGGCATTGAAGAAGTGAGAGAGTGAAAACAAGCTAAAGAAGAGAGACAATGAACTACAAAAAAGGATAGAGAATAAACTAGACATTGAGAGAGGAAATAAAATAGATAATAGTAGAGAGAACAAATAGAGACAAAAAAAAAAAGATATAACAAGGAAGAAAGATAAAGAAGAATGAGCAAGTGAAAGCAAGAGATAACCTAATAAGACATGGTAGGTGTATGTAATTACATTATAATATGGATCTTCTCTATAATAGCTAATATAATTCACTAAAAGATCTCATCATCGACATCTAATAATTTGTACTTATAACTATTTGTAGACAAAAAATATATTTGCACATGCTATGATATGCCACCTTAGTCCTTGTATGCATATGCATGTTCAAAGTCTTCTTGCTGCAAGAACCATTGTAGCTACAATCCTAATCTCTATTAGATAAGAAAATGCCTATATGCCAATTATTTTTAAAAATATATATAATAAATATACAACTATGCAACAAAAGAGACTACAAAGCCATACTCCCATTGTTGCATTTTTTAATACAATGCAAGTGTCTAACTATGAATTCGATTATATATGTGACATTGAAATAAATTCCTTGATGTATTTTTATTATGCATGTATCTTTGATTTGCTTAATTTGCAACTATTCTTATACCTTTGTGCTAGATTACACCTACAAAACCAACAAATTTTATATGTTTTTGCTACATGTCATCGATGTGATATCAATGAAGTTTATATTTTCTTCTTGCTTTTGTTTTTTGAAGGAAGAAAAAGAAACAAATTACATGTGGGTTCTTGAACAAATGCAAAATCTTTTTGTTGATGGAATCATGCCAAAGACCTTTGTAGCTGATTGCAAACTTGTACTCATGTTTACATTGCAAACCATTTTTTGTATGTGGCACATCAATTAAAATATTTTGGAGCATAATAAATGCAACTTCTCACATGATGAATTCACAATCTTCTTGAAATAATGGAACTAATTCATAAGAAACTATACAATAGATGTCTTTGACAATAGTTAAGAAAGTTTTATAAAAAAAAATTAAAAAAAAAAAAAAAAAAAAAAAAAAATGTTAGTGACTCAAGTATTATCACTTATATTTCTATGACTTAAGTACCTTTAAAGAATCACTTTGTTTCATCTAGATTCTCTTAATATTTCACTTTGGCAACATCAATACCTTTTGCTTACAAAGTAGTTAATTAGTATTTAAAAAAATGGTTTGAAATATTGACACTTGATTTTTATGACATTTATAATTGAATCATCATATACCTTGATCATCAAGAGAGAGAATTGAAGGCAAAGATTGGTGTATTGCTTATTGGTAACTTTCATCTTCAATAGCACCTTGATCATCCACCTTCTATACCAAATGCCCATCTTCTTTTGAAAAATAGAGTGCTTGCAATCACTTCAATTTTAATATCTCTTATTGACATCTATTCTAATTTGGCTCTAGATCAACAAATTTTAACATAAAAAAGAGTGATCCAATTGGCATCACAATGCTTTTGTGCTCCAAATAATCCATTCCCTCAATAGATAAGAAGTCGTCATCCTAGAACTTTGAATTATATACAAGCATCATCTATCAATCCTTTGTTGTTTTAGATTGTGGAAGGTTGTGAAGTTAGATAGAAAAAATGTAAGGCATGTGGTCAAGTTAAGCATAATATTTGTACTTGTCCTAATAGTTTGAGAATGGGCAACTCACAAATGGAAGATCTTTGGAATCAACCAAACAGTAAAGAAAATGTAGAGAAAAGTGACAAAAAAAATTAGAAAGAAAGAGAGATGATTTTTGAGACTAGATTTCCAAAAAGAATCTCTTCATTTCAAAATCACCTTGTCCATACAAAATCCAGTATATATATATATATATATATATATATATATATACATATATATATGTATACATATCTTTTTGGAAGCTTTGTCTCCAAATATTCATACAAGGGCATTGCTCTTTGATTGTGCTTGCTAACTAGCCAATGAGGTTGCCGCAAAAGAGGTTGCTGCCTCTTCTAAGTGCCCCCTCTCCCCCCAAATTTTTGCAGTCTTTAATTAGGGTGTAGCAACAAGAGTTGGGGATTTAGCATTAACAATTCCCTTACCAAAACCAAAAACCCATGCAAATAGTTGGCAACAATTAACCAACTCCAAATATTGATTTTGCACACACAAACCATGGACAAGAATAACCACCCATAACAATAGCATATAATATTCTCTCATAGTACATTTCAACCCATAAATCCCAATTTGAATATTTATTCACATACCAATACACAAGAAAAAAGAAAAATGTGGTATTTGGAATCAAAATAGAATAACCTCTACTAATGAGGATGGATAAACCTATGAAGACATAGATACTGCACAAGTTTAGGCACAAGCACAGACTACGATCCAGCAGTTTCAGAAACCAAGATGGCTTTACAGTTCCAAGGGAGGGGGCTGTATCACACCACCCTGTTTAACACCATTTGGTTTCTCAACAGTGCCGCTGCGTCTAACTCAGAACGCAGTGGATGCCGTCGCCGCGCGTCAGCGTCAGGCATGCGCCTCCGCCGCAGATGGACGCCGTTCGATCGCGAGCCTGCGCGACGCCGATTGCTGTGCAGCAGCAATGCCGAAGCCATAGCCATGCTGTGTTGTGCTGTGCTGTGCGCTTCTCTCTCGCAGAGACTCAATTTCCTCCTTCTTCTCAAAGGGGGAATATCTCGTCGTCGTCGTCGTCGTCGTCGTCGTCGTGGGTCTTCTTCTTCGTCGTCTATTTAAGAAGTAATTAATGTCGTACACACTAGACCCTGCGGCAGAGTGGCAGGATTTGTGTCTTCGGGGGGCGAGGGTCCTTCGCTCACTCTCTCTCTCTTCGCTCTTTGTGGACGCGTCTCTCGCGGCGTCGCCTCAGTTGCCTTCTTGTTTTTCCCCTTTCCTCTCGCTGCGATCCTCTGTGTGTGTGTGTGCGCGTCTGTATGTCTTCTTTGGCGCTGCAGCGTTCTTGTTTCTCCTTCAGTGTTGTCTCGACGAAGGTTTCAACGGATGGGTAGGAATGCTTCTGATTGCGCCGACGATGGGGTTTATTTCCCTCTGCTATGCGGGACCGTGGGGTTGCGAGTGAATCGTATGGATGTGTGCACTGGCGGAGGAGGTGAGGGACATGGACGAGATAAGGGAGAGTGAGAGTGGGAGAGAGAGTGAAACGAGTAGTGCGGGAGAAGAGTTGTCGTTTTTTCAGTTTTCTGTTTTCGGTTTTGTACCTCTGGAGAATTGCTGGTTTCTGATAGTAGGTGATGTGGTGTGACAGAATGTTCACTTTTCGGGGGACGGGTTGAGGAGGATTGAAGGATTTAGCTCTACTTGTGCTAGTGGTGCGCAAGCAAGGCTGGATGGGAGCGTTTTCCGGGGTGCGGAGAGGGCGAACAATGTGGAAACGCCGCGTTAATCGCGAGTGAAAGAAGAGCTCTCGCGGCGTTGATGGGTTGTTGTTATTTTCTGGGACTGTTGCGAATGCTGGAAGACGACATCGATCCAACGTCTGAACGTGTGTGCATTAGACGCACTGGACGTGTCAGTCCGTGTGATGTTGCGTCGTCGGTGATTTGTGGGAATTGTTGTAGCTTGAGAGTAGATTGAGCGTGGAGTCGGAAACATGAAGAAGCGAGAGAGGGGGGGAGATGACAATGCTCCCCCTCAGGGCAAGCGAGCTGCGGGACCTCGGATAGGCGAAGATTCCGAAGTTGCCGGAAACAAAACCATTTCGGTAGCTAACGGACATCGGTTGACCACTGACGATGCGCTTGCGTACTTGAAAGCCGTGAAGGAAAAATTCCAGGAGGACAAGCCCAAGTACGACGAGTTTTTGGAGGTTATGAAAGACTTCAAAGCGCAGAAAGTGGACACTGCCGGTGTGATCAGCCGCGTGAAGCAGTTGTTTAAGGGACACCCGCAATTGATTATGGGCTTCAACGCGTTCCTTCCTAGAGGATACGAGATCACGCAGCCGGAGGAGGAGAAGCCTGCGGTGGAGTTTGACCAGGCGATCAACTACGTAAGCAAGATTAAGTCTCGGTTTGCAACAAAAGAGAGTGTGTACAAACAGTTTTTGGAGATTCTGAACTTCTACCGGAAAGGTAATAAGACCATCAATGAGGTGTATCAAGAGGTGGCTAAGCTGTTTGCTGACCATCCCGATCTGCTGGAAGAGTTCACATACTTTCTGCCTGGAACGAACAGTGCCGCGATGGGAACGGGTCAACCCAATGCCATACCCATGCAGCATAATGCACACCAACGAGACGAGGCAGGGTTTAAAGCAAGTGGGAAACCATCTAACGATAGGCTGATAATTCCCAAGAAGGAGAAGTCTTTAGCTATGCCGGGTGAACGAAGTCGAGATCGAGAGCCTGAAAGACTTGTAGACAAAGATCGTGTAAAGCTGGACAAGGACGACGAGACGAGCGAATTTGGGTAGGCTTCTAACTATATGGTCATTACCCAACCTGTTTAAGGTTTAGGATGTCTTGCATGACTACGTGCTTCCTCGACATTACGGAGGTTTTGTATGCATGTAGCTGAAAGTGAGCAAGTCTGACTCTGTTTGAGAAATTCCGAGGACAGGCACAGGAAGGATACAGTTGTCAAGGAGGAAGGAGGTCGGGACACGCAGAACGATTTCGCGAAGCAGAAGCCCGCGAAGAGGACGTCTGCCCGTAATGCGAGCGACGCCATCAGGAGGCAGTCCCAGGCTGGCGAGGGAGGCGAGGGTTTCTCCGGGTCTGTACCCCAAGCGTCAACGGATGACAAGAAAGCGGTAAAGGCTGCGATCGGCGTGCAGTACCCGTTTTTTGACAAGGTTAAGGCCCGACTGCGCAGCCGAGACACATACCAGGAGTTTCTGAAATGTCTGAACATCTTCAGCCAGGAAATTATCACCCGCGCGGAGCTGCAGACCCTGGTGGGCGACATCCTGGGCAAGCATGCTGATCTGATGGAGGGATTCACCGAGTTCCTGACGCACTGCGAGAATGTGGAGGGGTATCTGGCAGGAGTGTTCAACGGGCGCAAGCTGCAGGATTTCGCGGATGCGGCACCTGTGAAGGCCGTGAAAACAGAGAGGGACGGCGAGCGAGAGAGGAACCGAGAGAAGGACAAGGAGCGGGAGAGGGATAGGGAGAGAGAGCGGGACGTGAAGCCATCGCAGGCTGCGAAGGAGGGGGGCCATAAAGTGTCTTCGAACAAGGACAAGTACATCAACAAGCCGATATCAGAGCTAGATTTGTCGAACTGCGATCGATGCACTCCGAGCTACCGGCTGCTGCCAAAGTATTATCCTCGGCCAGTGTCGAGCCATCGGACGGCGCTTGGGAACTCAGTGTTGAACGACAGCTGGGTGTCGGTGACGTCCGGGAGCGAGGACTACTCGTTCAAGCACATGCGGAAGAACCAGTACGAGGAGAGCCTGTTTCGGTGCGAGGACGACCGGTTCGAACTGGACATGCTACTGGAAGGTACGGCGGTGACGGCGAAGTTGGTGGGAGAATACACTTCGAAGCAAGAGGAGCAGAGCGGGCAGGCGGAGGCATTGCCTCCTGTGGACGAGTTTTTGTCTGCGATCAATTTGAGGTGCATCGAGCGGATATACGGGGACCACGGGCTGGACATGTTGGAGGCAGTCCGAAAGAACACGAGCCGAGCGATGCCTGTGGTACACTCGCGCCTGGTGCAGAAGGAGGAGGAGTGGACTCGATGCCGGGAGGTTATGAACAAGGTGTGGTCGGAGGTGTACGCAAAGAACTGCTACAAGGCGCTGGACCACCGCAGCTTCTACTTCAGGTCGCAGGACAAGAAGGCGCTGAGTACGAAGGGGCTGCTGGCAGAGATCAAGGAGATGAATGAGAAGAGGAGAAGAGAGGACGACATGATGTTGGCAGTTGCAGCGGGTAATCGAAGGCCTCTGCTGCCGGATCTGCGGTACGAGTTCAGCGACATGTCGATCCACGACGACATATACCAGATAATAAAGTACTCGTCGGAAGAGATCAGTAGCTCGCCGGACCACGCGGAGAGGACGATGCAAATGTGGAGGATGTTCGTGGAGCCGGTTCTAGGCCTATCGTCGCGTTCGCAGGGGGTGGAGGACATGGAGGAAGGGGTGAAGGGGAAGTCGGTGGAGGGCAAAGGCGAGGATGGAACTGGTCGAAAGAGCGGTGGCAGTGAAGGTGATGAGACAAGCAGCCCGGAGGGCGGGACCGCTGCACTTGAAGGACAGGGCATCTTGGGCAGAGGTGTGGAGGTGGTGGGCGTGGAGGAATGTAGGGCTCGGGTGACGGAATGTACTACGAATGGAGAACTTCAGCAAGCAGCCGTTTGTGGAGAGAAGAATTTAGTCGACAATGCAGGAGGAGAAGTGGATGTGCGAGGTGGTGACAGCGCGAGAGAAGGTGTGGTGAGAGGTGCAGCTGAGGATGATGGAGAAGGCACGGCTGCACGGACGGAAGGGTGCGGCCGGTTACGCGAAGGGAACAGTGGGGCGAGGCAGAGCAGCGGGACAGCAGATCGGGACGATGTGAAAAAGCGGTCAAATGTGAGGCATGGTGAGAATACGGGAAGCAGATCGGTGGTGGGTGGTGGTGGTGGTTTAGCGGCGGAGGGCAATGGCGCCCATGGTGTCGCAGACAGAGAGGAAGGTGAGCTATCGCCTTTGTCGGAGCGGGAGAAGCGAAAGCCGTCGAAGTGCAGTCCGCGGCGGGGGAAGGGCGAGAACGACGCGGTGAAGCTATGCGGTCATGAGGAGGTTGCAGAAGGAGTGGGTGGAGCGGAAATGGAGCATGAACAAGGTAGTTGTGATAAAAGTTAGGGGGCTGTGTAGAAATGTCGTAAACTGAGTGTTGATCCTGCCCACACATCAAGGGATTTCATGATGTGCATTTACAAGTCAGTCTCATGGAGTGTTTTTGATTAGTACACGGAGGCGTGAATTTAACTGTTGCTTGTGAATTGCTCGTTGGAAAGGGTTTGTTTGTGACAGTGGTTTATGTGAATCAATTTTTTGAATTTGTGTTTTTTGCAGTTGTTTAGTATGTTTGGTGGTGGTTTTTGTTTGTTTTTGGTAGCTTGATTATTAATAATGAGGGACTGTGGTCGACCACTGTTTTCTGGTGCTCCAGATGAAGTTGGCGTGGAAAGTGCCCAGATGTCGAGCGAGGACAGCGATAGTCCTTCTGAAGCTAGGGAGGGGATTTCTGGATGTGAGCTGTCAGGTGGCGAGCAGTCTAAGCATGAACAGGGAGAAGGGAAAACAGAGAGCGAAGGGGAGGCGGAGGGCATGACGGACATTGATGATGCAGATGGAGATGGTAACATGCCATTTGGAGATTCAGATCACCCATTTGCACATTGCATGCCACTGGCTGTTTATACCAGTTCCGTTGCAGGGTTGGATGTGTCATCCCGGGGGAAGAAAGGCGGAGGAATCTTTTTCGGGAACGACATGTTTTACATTTTGCTTAGGTTGGGCAGTGAGTCCTTGCTTATTTCTTGTATTGTGAAAAGTGAGATTTTTTAGACAGTTGGTTGATATATATTTTAGCATAAGGATGGTGTCAATCAAAGCTGTCAATTATGTTTTGCAGAGCCGTTTCTTGTGCATTGTGATGGAGCTAGGGCTTGTGCAGCTGTGGTGATGACGTAGTTTTGTAGTAGGATGTGTGTCATGTCCGTGTGTGAAGAAGCGTGTGACGATTTTATTTTGTGTGATCAGGCTCTACCAAACTCTGTACGAGCGGCTTCTGTCAGCGAAACTAAATGCGCAGGCATTTAAAAGAAATGGCTGTGAGGGCAGCGATGGCAGCTCTCATCCCAATTTATACCTTCGGTTTATTCAACTGCTGTATGCGTTACTGGACGGATCCATAGATAATTCAAAGTTTGAAGACGAGTGCAGGGCAATTATAGGAATACAGTCCTACATGCTATTCACGCTGGACGAGTTGATTTTCAAGCTGGTGAAGCAGCTGGAAGCGGCTGCGACAGACGACGTGGTACAAAAGCTACTGACACTCTACGCATACGAGAATGGGCGGGAGGCCGTGGACACAGTGTATTATGCAGATGTTTGCGTCTTGCTAAACGACGAGAGCATATACCGTTTTGAGCAGAGGTGCAGTCCGAACGAGTTGCTGATACAGCTGATGGAGAATTCGGACGTTCCTGGGCACGCTTTCGAGAGCCCCTTTCAGAGATACTTGGATGGGTTTTTGACGTCAGTACCATCAGGCAAGGGCAGGCAGGTATTTGTGGCACGAAACTTGAAGCGGAGGTTGGTGGGAGAGGGTGTGGATTATGGGGAAGATGTGAACATAGTGAACGGGCTGGAGATAAAGATGACATGTCGGACGTCGAAAGTGTCGTACGTGCTAGACACGGAAGACGTGTTTTGGAGGTCAATGCCAGGAGGCAAGAGACGGAAGGTGAAGGTGGGGCCGAAGAGGGTGGGTCTGTTTCATAAGTGGATGCAAGAAATGGAGAGTTTGAAGGTCGAGTAAGTGATTCAGATTAGATCTGTGTGTTGTTTTTTGCGTTACTTTTTAGCCAGTATCTGATAGGTTTACTAGCGTGAGTGGTCGTTACATTCTGGGTGGAGATCAAGTGTAGTGACCCGAGGAGTGCACTGGCAAGAAACTGAGAGTGAATCTAAGCTCTGTCTGATGTGTACCATGTATCTTATGTGAAGGTTGAGCAGATTTCAGTTTAGCTGAGTATTGGCTCCGTTCTCCAAGTTAGTGATTTCGGGGATAACTTGCTGCTGGCTGCACAAGACTTGGCCCTACACTTATCCAATTCATTCCTATTCAAACCTGGGATTTACGGATGCGCTCCCTAATCTTATTCCACCTAGCACAACACTGAATGCAGCCCATTTTGAGGCGTGGTGCAATTTTCTAGATAGGTGATTGTTTAGTCCCATTTTGAGAGCCTGTAAGCCTTGATCTCATGCAGTCAAGAGGATTCTTGCAATTATTTAGAGTGAAAATTGAGATCAGGTGATTTTAGGGGGGCCCCACATGATACATAGTTCCCAAATGGTAGTCAAAGTGCATTGCTATTTTAGTTCTTCGATGTTTTTGTCAAAGCCAGAAAGGCTGGACGTTATTGTAATTGGGCTTGTTTTTAGAGAGAGATTGTTGTTTTGAAGTGGATAGTCTCAAAGTTGAAAGGTCTCTTGGAAAAAAATTGAAATGGAGGGAATAATTGCTTCTTAAGATTTTAAGCTATACCAAACCAAGTTTATTTGGCAGCTGAAAAATTTCGAACGACGTAATGATTAAAAATTATTTTTTAATCTTGGAATTTCTTTCCATACCAAAATAAAATAATAATCGCTGATTTTAACGAAATATATTGTTTCAATTATTGTGTTATGTATTTTAAACATTTAAAGTCCTGATGAGGCACATTGAAATGATGTTTTTATTTGTGATTTTGGATTATATCTTGTTTGGTAAAATAGACGATGAAATCTTGTAGATTATTAAGATTCAAATTTTCTAAAAGTATTACTTTGTCTCTTGTGATTCTTTCTAAATTGTACCAAAAATAAACATATGAACTTTTAATAGTTGGAAAATAATAAGTTGTAGTTTATAATTATTTTAAAATAGAAATAAAATTTTGTGATAAATATTTATATTTTGAATAAAAATAGAATTGATTCTTAAACAAAGTTGAGTTGGAAAATTTATATTGAATTCTAGTTATACAATAAATTTTATGTTATACTATGTAACTTAAGAAATTATAATTTCATTTGATTTCTTGCATGTATATTGTTTCTTGATTATCTGTGGTAATTCAACTCATGCAAAAAAATCAAGATTAAAAGATTTGTAAGTCAAAAAGAATAAAATCATTTGCAACAATGGTTGCACATGCCAATTGTAATAGAAGAGTTGTATTACCAACATGAGAAAATAAAAAGCTCTAAAAAAAAGAACATGTGCCAATAACTATCTATCAAAATTATTAATGCATAGAGCTAACTACTACAACCTTGGTATAGAAAACATAAATCAATATACACTAAAAGAAAGAAGACATCCAAGTCATATTGGCCATACCATATTCAAAACAAACTACATATATCATGTGACACATTATTTATATTTGGTTTTCTAAAGATGTAAAGAAAAATAAAAAAAATAATATAACTAAAAATTTTAAAATAAAAATAATGGATATCCAACTTGGTCATTTTTTTATAGCCCTACCATATGTTTAAGTTTAGAGTAGTAAGCCAAGTCAAACTACTTTAAATTAAAGTACAATGCTACAATAATAAGAAAAAACTATGTTTCAAAAAGTAATGCCAAAGTTTATTTGCAAGTTGGAATCCCAATGTACTAAGACATTAATATTAGAAGGAACATTTAGAGAAACCAAAGGAAGTTAAGAATTAAATATAAATTTAGAGAAATTGGAGTAGAGTATAGAAGAACTAAATATAAAAAAAACTAAAACTAAATAATCAACTTAAACACGTAAGTAAATAGAATTGGCATAACTTATAAGTTATAGGCATTGGAATTAGATAAATGTAGAATTAATGCTTATAAATTTGGATTTGCTAAAACAAAATTAATGAAGATACTCAAAAGCGTATTTTTTAAAAATTTAAAAATTTTAAGAATTTAATATTTAATATAAAAAAATAAATTAAAAAATAAAAATAGATATTTTTATTATAATTATGCAAGTATAGAAGATATTTTCTACACCTATTATATAAAATTTTATTAAGTCCATTTGCCTACTATAAGTGCAAGTAATACCATCTTGAAATAAGTTTTTATTTGAAGTTTAACAAATAAAATTTTGACGCTAAAAAAAACCATCATAGTTAGGAAATTATAAATAAATAAATAAATAAATAGTAGATGTCATGAAAGCCAATGCAAAATCCCAAGAAATGATAGTAGTATAATATAACTCTATAAAACATTTAGAATTCTATCAACAAAGAAATTCTGAGAAAAATATTTCAAAGCATAAAACAAAGAATTGTTTTTTTTAGAATTTATTACAATATTATTTTACATCTATTAAGAAGAAATATTTACAAAAGAAAAACTAGTATCAATCAAATTATCAAAATTTCGGTTTTAAGATATATTAAAAATTTATACAAATAAAATTTTAATTTACTTTTATATAGAATAATAATTAATTAATGATTTAAAATCTTATGTTATTTGATTTCTTTCTTTTCTACTTAAATATTTTTTTATTGATGCAAGAAACAAAATCTTGACCAAAGAAATTAACATAATGCTTGACATTTATTAAATTTAATTCTACAAAAGCACATGACACAGTGAAATATGATTTTTATTTGTTTAAACCACCTTTGTAATAAATTCATGTATTCATTACATACTCATGTTTAAAATTTTTAATGAAAAAATGTATATGCTTATTTAAATATTAATAATTTTTACTTCATTCAATAGAAAAGAAGAGGTAACATGGCTTTTCTACTAACAACTTATACTTTATCATGATAGAGATTTTAGGTATAAAATTTTTAAGAAAGATGGCAGATAAAAAAAATATACATAATTGATTTATATTTTAATAGTTTTAATAGATCATTGTTTAATATGTTTCTAGTAAAGATTGATTTTTATAGGATTAAAAATAAACAATTTGGAAAGTCATCTATATATGAATAACATTTTTTTTGTCTCGAATATAATATTTATACAGCTATTGAAATTGCAATTAAGGAGTTTGACTAAATTGGAACTAAAAAGTTTGACTTAATTAGAATATTAAGAATTTGAAAAAAATAAAAATTTAAAAACAGAGTAAATAGAGAAATTTAATTAGATATAAATAAATAAATAAATAAACTCTTATATTGATGCTATAGTACCAATAGTACAAGAAGAAACATCATTGTTATTGGCGTTTGTTTGTTTGTTTGTTTTTTTTTTTCTTCTTCTTCTTTAGTACAAAACAACAAGAATATAATTGCTAAAAAAAATCTAAATTTATTGCAAGAAACTTCGTAGTAGAACAATAAATATAAAAAAAAACTTAGCCAAGATACATTGATTGTTGTATTTATAATTAAAATTACTCAAAAATAAAATGTTTCTACACTTAATACTTTAGTATTTTAAAGTATATTAGTTTGGAATGCAATTGGTAGTTGGCATAGGCTAAAAGAATTTTAATTTATGCTAAAAAAATAGATACATAATCACAGTAGCTTTAAGATATTTTTATTATTTGGCATTTGTTTCTGTAATACCTCTATAAGAATAACTACAATATAATGCATGAAATAATACAATCTTATTTGCAATTGGCTCAAATGTCTTTGACCTTGGAATTGCAATGTGATATAAAGTTGGCATCTAAATGTATAAAAGATATGTTTATAGAAATGAATATATTTTTTTATATTGGTCATTGCTACCAATAATTAAGACTATTTAATTAAAAACAAAAAAAAAACAAAAACAAAACAAAAAAAAAAAAAAAAACTTTAGTTAATTCTATTTACTAAAGTAGGCATGATATATGAAATCTAAGTAACAACTTTCATAAATAACCATATAAAAGAAAGTATTAAAAGGACATGAAAAGAAACAATCAACTCTAAAAAAGATGATTTATCACATTGACTATTACTTTTAGCTTATCCTAAGACAAACCATATTTAAAGTTTCAACACATCTAAATCATATTTTAATAGGATATCATTTTAAAATATTGAAAACAAATATCTATAGCTATAAAATATTAATAGTATCTTTGATTATTATTTTTAAAAAATTAAATAAGATATTTAAATATTACAATATTAAGCCTTTAATTAATTTAAGCAATATCTATCTCATAAAATGAATAGCATAAAATTATCCATTCAGCCTTTACATATTTTTTTTGTCAAATTAGATCTTTAATGTTTTTTAATATTATTTTAAAATTATTTTATAAAAATAAATCGTTGTTCTTAAGAACATGATAAATTGTTATGGTAGATTTTAAATAAATTTTATAAATAATCAACATCTTATATACAATTGCTTCTTGATATATAAAGATTTTTAGGAGTATGAAAGAAATAATATTATTAATGTACTTTTATGCTGCTATTGGTTCATTTATTTAAAATCTATTAAAACATATATATATATATATATATATATATATATGGAATGATTATTAACAACAATATAATTATCTTTGTATTTTTAATTTATTTAACTGCATAAATAAAATTGATTATTATTAAGTCTTTACATACAAAAATGTTTACTTTAATTTTTATGTTGTTGTTATTGTTTTATTTTAATTTTAGAGATGTAATAGTTTAAAAATTTAATTATCTTATTGCATTGATGATTTTTACATTTATGTTATTTAAATCTTAGAGTATAATTTAAAAAATTTAATTCTTTTCTTATGTGTTGAAATAAAATTAAATATTACTTGGCATAATTAAAATTTTATTATTTATCTTGTTTATAATTCATGCTATTATTTGTTTAACCTTTTTACAACCAATATTAAGTTATTCTACAAAAATTTCCTTGTTTCTTGCATTTGATTTAAACTAATTATTTCTTTTTATTAAAAATACACATAGTTATTACATTGTAATGATACAAACTCAAAAAATTAAAAACTCAAAAAGTGTACACAATTATTTTTTAAATATATATATTTCTTTATATATTAATAATATATTTAACCAAATACCAAGATGTATGATAGAATTTAACAAATGACATTTTAAAAAGCACCAAAAGTAATAATATTTACTTGGAGGTCTTTACATGCAAGATCTCACTTTGAAAGTCCATAGAGTACAAAAGAACTGCAAATGTCTCTCACTTTGTTTTAAAAAAAAAAAAAAAAAAGCACTCTTATTTAGAAGTCCTGATCTTAGGAGATATTATAACGTGAAAAGATGCAATGAAATGGACCATATCAATTCTTTTTTGAAAATTGAGTTATGCTAATTCATGTTGTGATTTAATTAATTATAAAAAAATAAAATTTTATTTAATAAATTCTTTAATGGTTATTTTAAAAAATTTCTAACACTCCTGTTCAATTTTTCGCAAAAACCACCTCGTCAGATGCACCTTTTGCAAATTCTGGAATTAAACACTCCTTGTGTCATGTGAAAAAAAAAAAACATACCATATCTATTCATCTTAGGAACTTGATTTCAACCAATCAAAAGATTTAAATACTCTGATCTCTCACCTTTTTCTCTGAGTTGTGACCTCATCAGTAATATATACAAAATTATCAATTCCTAAATTTTTAGTGTAGTCAGGATTACATCCGGTGAAAGTTAAGCAGTTGCAACTAATTGTGGACACAATTAGTGCTCGAACAACAGAATGCAGCGAGTGGTACCATAGTTTGGCGGATTCCTGCTTCCTCGTTTGATTCGATATTGCACCTTTTTTTTGTTTTTTTTTTTTGTTTTTTTTTTTTTACTGTGCAGAACTTCGAAGTGAAACAATATTTTCGGTGAATCTAAAGGTTCTCCACATATGTGGTTCCATTCCACATAGCATGCCGCAAAATCGAAAAAAGAAATTGCCAAGAACGCTGGTATAAAGATCTAAATCGCAATCGAAATGAACTCGATTACGACCTTTCACAGAGAGTACCCAGTTACATGTGCGCCAAATAAGCTTGACGAACACGTGATTCAATGTACTAGTAGTAATGAAACAAAAAGGGCACATGCTAGAAACTAGTTGCGTCTACACATCAATTCATAAATTGCTCGTTTTGATAAATCTCATCAAGCACATAATTGCGTGCAAATGGCAATTTGATAGGTGGACCTCCTACTCTAACATCAACTGCAATTCACTCTTGTGCCTGCATTTTGTTTACTTCTGTAACAAGATGCCTTGAACCGTAGTGTAGTATACAAGAACGTATAAATATTGAAAGCAGCTAGACCAAGAATAGATAACAGAACAATTTACGTAGATGTACACGTTAATTCATCAGACACGGGCACTTAGAAGCGTGCAAAAACCGTATATGACCTTATGCTTTCTTCACAACTGCTGCAAGGTTCTTAGTGAAAAAAAAAGCTGATCAAATAAAAACCGCAACAGCATGGGATGCCTTATTGACGTGAACCAAAAGTCTCCCTGCACGTTGGTACAACCTCGTCAATAACAACTCCAATTACCACAACCAAGTTCTAAGCAGCCCACATAATATTCCCCAAATATGATACACATAGATGCGTAGTTATACTTTTTAGGTGGAATACAAGTATTGTTTGAAGAACGATTACTTCCTACTCAACTTGAACCTATCGTGTTCAAAGTCCAAAATAAAAATAAATAAATAAATAAAACGAAAGTTCAAACGTCGACCAGAATGAACGAACACAGATGTAATGGACCTGGATTGTGAATTCATTACGCACCTTTCATTTGGAATATTTCATAGTCCCCAATGTCTGTAAATCTGACTAAGAAGCCCTCCAACAGAAGCATTGGGTGGAGGTTGGGCTGCAGCGCCAGGCTGAGCGGCAGGAGCCTGCGGGGCAGGCTGACCCTGCCAGCCTGAATGAGGTTGATTGGAGTTATGTGCTGGATGCTGAGATTGTGCGTGAACAGGGGGCTGCGAGTAATAAGGTGGAATTCCAGGTAAGCTGTGACCAGCATAGTAAGGGGGTGCTGGTGGCTGTCCGGCGTAGCCTGGTGCAGGACCAGAAGCGGTAGGATGGTAGTAAGAAGAATCTTGAGAACCATGAGAAGTAGGTGGTGCCGAATGTCTATTGTTGTTCGTGAGTGAGAGACCTGCAATTTTTCGTTGTATATCATCCATCATTTCACGACATTGTATGCTTCGTGTCATCACATAATCGTTACAATGCTGCTTCAAATTTGTAATTGCGGCCTGTAAGGAAGAAAGCACCACGCAATACAAACAGTCAAAACATCTCTCCAGCACATTACCACTACCAAAGGACAATAATAGATAACAAAAAAGTTTAGGGAACAGGTGGAGCATATTCTCAAATAATAGACTTCAAGTATAAAAACGAAAATATTTCCAACGCTCCAATAAGGTATAAAATCCAAGTCATACTTTGAAACAACACGATAATGAAAAGAGCCTACTTTGAGGAAAACTTGACATGAGGCTAATAGGGGCGAAGAGAAGAACCTGCAAGGTGGCGTAGAATTTCAAACCTTCGTTGATGTTTTCACGGACTTCTCTGTACTTCTGAACTGCTGCACGAACCTGGTTGTAAGCCTTTTCTTGTTGCAATTTGAAATCTTCAAGGTTAAAAACCGAAGAAAAAGCTTCGTTGTGCATTTTGATCTGCTGAAATAAGCGATCCTGATCCTCAATATTCCGAGAAATCTCTTGTGAAACTAGGTCATATTTACCGATTTCTTTCTTAAAAAGATCTTCATAAGATCCAGACGTTGTCATCAACTTTGGAAGGATGTTATCATTACGCCTCATTTCTTTGAGCATGTCTTCTAATCCAGCTCTTTGTGATGCACATTGTTCTAGCTCTGAAAGGTTCTGTCGCAATGCTCCAACAATCTGATCCTCGTTTCCATCCAAGGATAGCATTGGTCGTCCCAAAGTAGGTAAGGCGGACTCGATTGGCTTCGTATCAAGAATGCCCATGATATGCATATTGTCCCTAATTGTACGATCAATTCGAGCGTCGCTATCACCTGCCTGTTACGTGTACAGATGGATTTATCAGTAAAAGTAAAAGGAATCACAATAAAACATAAAAATTCGAAAATACTTTCAAAACAGACATGTACACAATACATAAGCATCAACCATAGTTGGAGTAAGTGGTAAACCTGAACTTAAGTGACCAACCAAATTTATGACACTCTCAAAGCGTCAACTGGAACCCTCGTCACAACATAATAAACGGACTTACGAAATGTTTGACTGTATTACCTGTTTTAAATTAACAGCAAACCTATTAGCTCGTTCATGCAACGTTTTTGTAAGAGTACTGGACTGCGGTCGCGTCCATCTGGTTCCGAATTGCGCCCTATTTTGGGCATCCTCTGTGGCCTCTTTCTCCAATTGCTTTTCAACTTGAGCCAGCAATTCCTCATTGACGCGGCGCAAGTCCCGTAGCTGCTTCATCTCAGTTTCAAGTCCAGCAGGGCCACCGTCTATTTGGACAGCCTCCACATCGTCCCGAAGATCATCTGGAAGAGAAGTAGATCCTTCTAAAGCACGTAAAGAATCCGGCAAGTTCATCTCTTTGAGCTTCACCCGCATAATTTCACTCTCTTGCTGCAACCTCTCCGCTAGGGTCCTTACAATGTCATCGACCATTTCTGTGTACTTCGAGAGTGCCTTGGCACTCGAATCAGGGACAAGGCCGGCAAACATCTTCTCCTTAGTGGCATCCAAAACATCTACAGCAGGAGTTGATTTGGCAAGTGCAGCTCCTACTAGTGGAGGAAGACTGTCAGGAGAAGGCACGCGCATGAGATATACTCTATCATTCTCTTTGTTTGCCCGGTCAAGATTTCTGTTGATGTTCATTTCCAATTTGGTAACTACGTCCTGAAGTGGACCCACCACCGCGCCCTTTGCCTGCTTTCGACCTTCTGCAATAATACTGCTTCCCACCCTCAATCGTGCAATCTCTTCCGGTATGTCATCTTTATCATGTAAGTCAAGTGCTGCTCGATAGTATGCCTCAGCATTAAATTGTGCTGCCTTCAGCTGGACATGGGCAACCCAAGTCCTGTCCATGTGCTGATTCAAAGGAGGAAGCAACAGAGCAGCACATGCCTCCTCATAGAAGGTCCCGACCTGCTTGGCTACCTTCGAGCACAGCAAGGATTTATTATCCGCCACAACTTTTTCAAAAAAGCACTCCTGAGCTTGAGCCAACATGAGCCGCTCGAGCATACCAGCACACTCCACCGAGATATCAATTGTCGAATTGTTCCCTGTCCCCGCAGCCTTCATAGAAATGTTATCCCTAAGAAATGCAAACACGCCTGCGGCGGCCTGGAAAGCCCCGCACGCCTGCTTCAACCCCATCGGCGTCGTCCGGTCCGCGGACAACGCGATCTGCGACTGCACAGCCCCGAGATTAAACGCAATTGCGGCCTTCTCAAAATGGATGTTCTGTTGCGACACCTTCCTTCCTTGCCGAAACGCGTCATACCACGTAAAGTGAAGCGTGTTTATGTGCTCCCGCTCACTGCTAATCGGGAACCTCGACTCCATAACACACAATGCCCGAAAGTAACGCTGTAACAAGTCCCGCCTCGCCTCTGACGCATCCGTGGACCTCTCCACCTCGCTCCGCATACTGGTCACTTCCACTATATCCTCCTCCATCTCCTGCGCCTCCCGTGCGGAGTAGTGCTGCAAGATATAATTCCGTAGCGGCTTCTGCATATCCACCGTCGTCGTCCTCTTGGCGTGATCGCCA